TAGGTTAGGTAGCCGAAAAAGTTAGGTTAGGTTAGGTTAGGTAGGTTAGGTAGTCGAAAAACAATTAATTCATGAAAACTTGGCTTATTAGGCAAATCGGGCCTTGCATAGTAGGCTGAGAAGTGCGTTCTGGCTACTAGGTACGACATATATATATATATATATATATATATATATATATATATATATATATATATATATATATATATATATATATATATATATATATATATATATATATATATATATATATATATATATGTCGTACCTAATAGCCAGAACGCACTTCTCAGCCGACTATTCAAGGCCCGATTTGCCTAATAAGCCAAGTTTTCATGAATTAATGTTTTTTTTCGTCTACCTAACCTAACCTAGCTAACTTTTTTGGCTACCTAACCTAACCTTACCTATAAATATAGGTTAGGTTAGGTTAGGTAGGGTTGGTTAGGTTCGGTCATATATCTACGTTAATTTTAACTCCAATAAAAAAAATTGACCTCATACTTAGAGAAAAGGGTTGCTTTATCATTTCATAAGAAAAAAATTATAGTAAATATATTAATTCAGGAAAACTTGGCTTATTAGGCAAATCGGGCCTTGAATAGTAGGCTGAGAAGTGAGTTCTGGCTACTAGGTACGACATATATATATATATATATATATATATATATATATATATATATATATATATATATATATATATATATATATGACTGTGTGGTTGGGTTGACTAATATATATATATATATATATATATATATATATATATATATATATATATATATATATATATATATATATATATATATATATATACAGTGTGTCCTCACTTGAACGAACTATATGGGGCGAAGCCGATTCGTTCCAGTGCGGAATTCGTTCCATCCGTCCGGCCCCAACAACCTTCTTATTTTTTTTTTTAAACATATGCCAGGACACATTAGTTTGTTTCTTTGTTGTGTGGTGCTTCATTATAATATCTTCATGCTCTTTTGGTGTCAATAATAATCTGAGATGCGAGAATCACCATCCCCCACCCACCCACACCATCCCCCCACACCATCCCCCACCCCACTCACACCATCACCCACACCATCCCCCACCCCACTCACACCATCCCCCACCCCACTCACACCATCCTCCACACCACCCAAACCATCCCCCACTCCACCCACACCATCCCCCACACCCCCACACCATCCCCAACACCCACACTCCCCACACCACCACCCACACACCCCACCCACACCATCCCCCACACCACCACCCACACACCCCCACCCACACCATCCCCCACACCACCACCCACACACCACCACCCACACACCCCACATCATCCCCCACACACACCCACACCACCCACACCATCCCCCACACCACCACCCACACACCCCACACCATCCCCCACACACCCCACACCATCCCCACACACCCCACACCACCCACATCATCCCCCACACCATCCCCCACACCACCACCCACACCACCCACATCATCCCCCACACCATCCACACCATCCCCCACACCATCCCCCATGCCACCCACACCATCCCCCACACCCTCCCCAACACCACTAACACCATTCGCCCCCACCACCCACACTCCCCACCACCCACACTCCCCACACCACCACCCACACACCCCACACCACCACCCACATCATCCCCCACACACCCCACACCACCCACATTATCCCCCCACACCCAACCACACCACCCACACCACCCACACCAACCCACCCACACCCAAACCACACCACACCACCCAAACCATACCACACCACCCACACCGTGTATTGAAGCAGCAGGCTTGGAAGCGTCTCAACTCGCCCGACAAAAAAAAAATGATGGGTTGACAGGTCTCCTCTCACACCTCCAGGACCCCCCCCACCCCCCAGGTACCCGGCCATACACACCACAATGCCAAGTCAGTTATTGTTTTCTTCAGGAAACAATAAAACGTGTTAATGATTAATAATGTATATTAATACACGAAAATTAACATATTTTGGCATAAATATTTTACAGCTAAGATTGAGATTTATAATAGAGTATGAATGAGAGGTTTGGCAGCCATGCGTGGTCACCACCCTTCTCTCTCCACTTCCACCTCCCCTGACAACACCTTCCACCACTGACCCCACCTGCCTCTTTCCACCACCTGCCTCCCCTGACACCGCCTGCCTCCCCTGACCCCACCTGCCTCCCCTGACACCGCCTGCCTCCCCTGACACCGCCTGCCTCCCCTGACACCGCCACAAATGATGCCAGCCACCTCACCAAGGCCTAACGTTCACACGGCCTGTGCTTGTTTTATTGGCCTCCTCAAAATTTATTCTAAATAGGTATTAGTACAGTACGTAGGCTGTTAGAGGAGGGAGGGAGGGATCCAGGAAACAACCCCCCCCTCCCACCCCCACCCCCCCCCCCCCCTCCCCAATGGCTCAGGGAGCGACCCGCCGGCCACACAATGCCAGCTGTTATCTACACCCCAATTGTATTAAAAATTCTGTGAAAAGGAAATGTGTTCAAACTATTTAAAATATGTACTGTATATATTACAATTTTCACCATTATTATTGCTCCAATATGACATTTTTCTAATAAAAAGGCTATTTTCAGTGTAGATAATGCGATAATTATCATTAAATTGACTCTTGGCATCTGACGAGGAGAGGAGAGTGAGTGGTCTCTGTGGTCAGGTGGAGGAAGGAGGGTGGGGGTGGGGGAGCATGTGTTGCCTCCTGACAACAACTCTCTCACCAATGCCTCCCTGACACCATTTTATCACCATTTTTATCACCATTTCTCCCTAGAAACAATGGGTAGGGATAATAAAACACTACATAACTGTTTACACTCTGGCGAATCATAGTTGATGACAGCCAGCTCTGACGCTCGGCCTCGGTGACCGCTTGGACGAACATTCCTCACTTAATCGAACATTTGTATGTTCCACTGAACATTTGGTACCGAATTCAATTTGTTCGGCTCTTCCGGGAATTCGATAGAGCGGGGTTCGTTAGTCTGAGGAAGCACTGTATATATATATAATATCCATCCCTCCCTCCCTCCCCATCCCATCCCATCCCATCCCATCCATCCATCCATCCATCCAGATAGACACAGTCAACCCAACCACCTCTTTCCTGTAGTATCTGTGTGGCTCTATCATAAAAACTAAATAGATTTGTTACACAGGATCTTCCTGTTTGAAAACTGTCTGTTTGTCTGTTATTATGTCATTATTCTCCAGGTGTTCAACCCATTTGGCTTTAACTATTTTAATGTTTAACTATAGTTTGTAGTGTTTTGACTGCCAAGCTTGTTAATGATATAGGTCTATTATGTAGAGGTTCCTCTCGACTATCATTTGTATAGATTACAACTATGTTTACCTTTTTCCATATGCTGTACCTGCTAAGATTCCTGTGCACAAGGATGTCTGGAATATTAATTGGAGTGGAATGCTCGTCTCGGTTGCACATTCTTGCAGCACCCAAGGTGAAACTCCATCAGGTCTAACCGCTTTATTTCTTCCTAGCCCCATGAATAATTTTTCCACATCGTCTTGAGATTCCTTCACATATGCTATGGTGTGTTCTGGAAGTGGTATTTGGACCGGCTCTATGAAATCCTCATTTTGTACAAACACACTTTAGAACTGTTCATTTAGCATTTCACATATTTCTTTTTCATTCTCAATAGTCCTGTTCCCTGTTCTCAATCTTTGGATTTTATATTTTACGTGCAGCTTGCTTTTAATGATTTTATAGAAAAGGCCTGGATCTGTTTTACATTTGTCCACTATACCTTTCTCAAAGTTCCTTTCTATCTCTCTTCTCACTGCTGTGTAATTGTTTCTTGCTTGTTTGTAATGCTGGTATGTTTGTGGGTTAGGCTTCTTCCTATATTGAGCCCATTTGCTTGTCTTGTCTTGTCTTCTCTGGCCTTCTCACAATTTCTGTTGAACCAATCTGTTTTTGGTCCTGTATCTCTGTTTTGGTATAAATGTTTGTGTGCCTTCATCATATATTTTTACAGAATTTGGCGTACATCTCACTTACTTCCTTGCCTATTAGTTAAAAAAAATTCTAAGTTCACCATAGTGTCCTACCTTGAAATAGAGTTTATCAACTGTTTCAATGTCTCCATTCTCTCCTAGATTATATCTCAAAGCATATTTAATTCCCAATGGGACATGATTACTTTCCCAAGGGAGGAAGGTACTGGCTGTTTAATATCTCCACTTCTTTCCTGGTGAATATTAGATCCAGTATTTATGGAACATCCCCTTCCCTCATTCTTGCATCCTGCTTGACGTGTTGATGTCTCAGTATTTCACTCAGTATTACTGTTGTCTCAGTATTTCACCAATTTCTTTCTTTTCATCTGTGGAAGTTCCATCACCCTTGCCAATGTTGCCAATGCCAATGGGCAACGTTTCTTTCACCCTATGCCCCTGTTACCTAGCAGTAAAATAGGTACCTGGGTGTTAGTCAGCTGTCACGGGCTGCTTCCTGGGGGTGGAGGCCTGGTCGAGGACCGGGCCGCGGGGACACTAAAGCCCCGAAATCATCTCCAGATAATCTCCAGATAACCCTTGTGCATGGGCCCAATGCAAGATGTCAGTTTTGTTCTACAAATTTATCAATATGGTTGTATTCACACCAAAGAAATTTTTTTGGAACAACCTTTCTAAGCTTCAGAACAACCTATTGATGACAGAAGTAGCCTTTCATAACCGCACGGCTGATTTGTAACCATTCGAAACATGAGAGCATTCTGCTCAGAACAGAGTTTAATGAACAAATCCACAAGGGCCGTGACGAGGGTTCGAACCTACGTCAGAGAGGATCCCTGATGCTCCTCCACACCGTTCGAGAGGATCTCGAATGTAGGTTCTAACCCTCGTTACAGCCCTTGTGGATTTGTTCATTTGATGCATCATGCTATTGTGATTTCTGTGTGCAGGGTTTAATGTTTATATCTTTCTTTCAGGTGATTGAGCTGCCTCTGCTTAACCCAGAACTCTTCCATAGAGTGGGAATCAACCCACCAAAGGGATGCCTGCTGTATGGACCTCCAGGTACAGGAAAGACGCTCCTAGCTCGTGCTGTTGCCTCTCAGCTTGACTGTAACTTCTTAAAGGTTTGTTTAAAGCCATTTATTTTAGCTCCTTTAGGTCATATACAGTACAACCTTGATTCAACATACTATATGGGGGCCCAACCCCAGTTCGTTGGAGCGTTGGATTCGTTGCAAGAGGTGACCTTCAGGAGGCGTTTGCGTCATTGTCTTTTTTTTTCTTGTAGACAATAAAAATGCATTATCATATTATATACTGAACTTATATATTATTACTCTACTAAAAAATACTGTTACATTTGTTATTTACCTTATTGATGGAGTTAAGTCCATCTTGAAGTCTCATGGAGTTGTGAATGTTGTACAGTAAATACATACTGTAGTGTATTATGCCGTTTACACTGTGTTGAGTAGTTCTGTTGTATGTTGAGTAAAACAATAAAGTGTATGAAAACTATTGTACACTAAAATTACTGCAACTTTAATTTTAATACTATATTGTGATTTGTCAAGAGGCTGGAGCGTTCATTCCGCGACTTTGTTGGACATATCGGCACAATCAAGGAACATCCGTGCACCATGTTGGCTCCAAATGCACTCATTGTGTCAGTGATGGCTGACTGGTGGGTGGATGTTCAGGCAGGCAGGCAGGCAGGCAGGCAGGCAGGCAGGCAGGGAGGGAGGGAGGGAGGCAGGCACGGAGGGAGGCAGGCACGGAGGGAGGCAGGCACGGAGGGAGGCAGGCACGGAGGGAGACAGGCACGGAGGGAGGCAGGCAGAGCTTGGGAGGGAGGCAGAGAAGGAGAGGATGGAGATGGATTGATGGAAGGATGGAGGGAGGGATGGAAGGATGGATGATTTGAGGGTGTGTGTGTGTATGGGCTGTAGGGGTGGGTGGGGGGGGGGAAGGTGTGTAGGTGGTGGTGAAGGGACCGACTCGGTGATAACCCTAACTCTGACCCAGTTAACTTTTTTTAAGAGGGCATCTGGTTATTATAGTGAAAGTTGTTCAATGTCAACCAATATTAATTTTCTAGTTGTATATGAAAAGTGCTTAAATTGTCCCAAGTTTCAGTACTGCAGCATAAATAGAAAGGGATTTTTTTTTTTTTTTTCCCCAACATTTTTTACACATTTTGAAGTCCACACTTCAGAACACACGTTTCAGATATAATTATTCTGTGACACTTTTCTGACACATTAGCATATAATAAAGGACCTTGACATATAGAATTTCCAAAACATCTTTAGTTTTCCTAATACAAATGTTCAAAGTTCCCCCAATTTTTTTTGCAAATATGGCATGTTTATTGCTATTATAAAATCAATAAATGAACTTAGAGAAAAATGAAAGCCCCCCAATGTAGAGACATGCCCTCCACATATACTGTGTAAGTTTCATGTAAATTGAATAAAAAATGAATCGGTTTTGTAAACGTTTGTGTCAATTGAAAAAAAACAAATGAATAAAGTCTAAGAATAAATTGAATAAAATCTGTGGCTGAGGTTGACATCAACCAATTTTCTCCAAAATTGGCATCCTTACAGATAGGCTTATGTACAGTCAGGTGTGTAAGTTTGATGCAAATTGCCCCCCCCCCCCCCCCCCCCAAAAAAAAAAAATAGAAAAAAAAATACTTTTTCTTAAATTTTTTTTCAATTAAACTAATTATAATATTTGTTTAATATATGCTATTGTGATAGCAAAGAGTTGTAGCTATGATTTCAGTTGACACTTTTGATTGATAATCGATTTTGACCATTTTGGCATAATTTTTACAACTACTTCAATATTTTTTTTCTCCCTTCCTATTTATGCTACGATGCTGAAACTTGGACCAGATGAAACACTTTTCATATAGAACTTGTCAAAAAAGTTTGATTGAAATCGAACGAGTTTTCATTTTTGCATTTTTATAACCAGACGCCCCCCTTAAACTACTATTAAGAGCACCCAAAGGATTATTTGTTAATTTTATATATGTATTAGATTCGCTCAATAACACATTCATGATGACCAAACCACACACTAGAAGATGAGGAGACAATGATGTTTGTCAGTCATGGAAAATTATTGGGCCAACAATCACCTTGATAATGTTCCAGGACGGACTGAAACGTCGTCGTCTCTTCATCTTCCGGTGTGTGTGATTTGGTCATCATATCTTCAGCCTTGTTATTGTGACATCATCTGCATAACAAAATTAATTTTTTCTATATAGTCACTTTTCTTCATAATTACAACAGGATTTGGTTTGTCTGCTTTAGTAACATGTAATTCTTTATTTTTCTTTAAGGTTTCAAAGGCTTTAAAGAAGTTTTTACTCATAACCGATTCATATGTTTTTGTGATTATTCTGCATCACAGTAGTATATATATGTCACTGAAGTAGTAGTATTGGTATAGTTTTATCTTTGTTTCTACAGTAGTCTTTCATTTCCTTTTTATCAGGTTGTATCAAGTGCAATTGTTGATAAATACATAGGTGAATCAGCTCGACTTATTCGTGAGATGTTCAATTACGCCCGAGACCACCAGCCGTGCATTATTTTCATGGATGAGATCGATGCTATTGGTGGAAGAAGATTTTCTGAGGGAACATCAGCTGACAGAGAGATTCAACGTACACTCATGGAGTTACTTAATCAAATGGATGGGTTTGATTCCTTGGGTCAGGTTAGTGCATATTTGTTTTAATACCATATTAAAAGTAGCCTTGATCTGAGTTCTATTCAGTAATGTTGATTTGCCTTTGCTGTGCAGGTTTCCAATGTTTCATCTTTTGCTAGATTTGGTGCAAGCAGACCTGCTTCTGTCCTTGCTGTGGGACTGGGACCACATCTCTGATATAAATTTTTTATATTTTTTTATATTTTTATATTTTTATATTTATATTTTATATTTTTTTAAATTTTTTCTATTTTTTTTTTTTCAATTGAACAATTTCATCCTTGTGGTTGAGATTTTTGGTCCTAGCTCTGTCCTGACCTGCAGACAATCCCCTGTTGTTTTCAGGGCTTGGGACACTTTACACCATTCCAGGATGCTAGAGTGTCATGAAGTGAGGTTAGTGTTTGGGGTATTTTTGGGCGGTGCTTATGAGCCTCTGCTCCAGAATGTGGGCACTTGGCAGCACCATGCTGCTTTTGGTTCTACAGGTCATAGAAGATTGTAGAGGTGCTGTTTCCCATGTCCTGTCCATGCAGGATCTTTTTCTGACCAACATAAGGGGGCTGGCTTCAGTGCCAAGGGTGGCACTTCTTCCTATGACTATCATGGCAGAGGCTGTGCCAAGTTGTTCACTCCTGTCCTTTGGGATGTGGTGGTGCATTTCTATTATACTCATTTAGCTGTCAGCAGGCTGTGCTTCCCACGTTTTGAAGTTGGTAGTGCCCAAGTCACGAGCATTGGCACTGTCTTTAATATCGGTACCTTCTACTTAGTGAGGGCAGTCCAGGTCTTCTTGGGGCGCTTTGCACCAGTCTTTTTGTGGTTTGCCCCGGCCCTCTGACTGTATTGTCGGTTGATGGTTGAGCACTTTCTCCCATACCTGAACTCAAGATGCCTGGGTATTTTGCATGGTGTCACAGGGCTTTCAGTGGGGGGTGGACTCAAACCCACATTTAGCGTTGTGTGTAGGCTCAGCCATCTCTCCTGCTTTTCTACAGGGTCATTTGTGGGTAGAAGGCATTGGGTATCCTGTTTCTGAGTCCCCAAGCTGACTGGGTTTTTCTTATCCTCTTAGGTGTAAACCGAGTTCTCTGTTCACCATTCTAAACATGGTGAACTAAACATATGTCTAGTCTTGCCAATGGGCAAATAAAAGGACCCCTTCCAGATGGTTTATTGCCGGATTTTATATTTGAATTGAGCTAGTGTTTCAATATTAACTATTTGATATAATAATACAAATTTGATTTTATTGTATAGTACACAAGCATGTATATCTGAATGCATAATGGAATTTTTCACTTTTCAGGTTTAAACTGGGTTTACCAATTGTTTTCTGTTAACCCTTAGACAGTGGCTATGGGGGAAAAATCATTATAGACTTATTAATTTGGATAAAAAATATGAAAATAATTTAACCCTTTAACTGCGCGGCCTATAAATATGACATCCCCCCAGTGCGCAGGAAATGAAACCTTGGGAAAAAATTATTTTTTCTTCTGAAAGTGTCAAAAACCCCTCCCTGTATATGGGCATAGCAACGCAAGTTCGAAATTGTACTTACTTTGGCTGCTATGGGGTCCGAAAGGTGGGCTGTGACGTCATAATTCCCCGTGCGCCAGAGCAGTATGCACCCGGGGCCGGTGGGGCGCCCGGGGCGGGGCGCGCGAGTTGCTGCGAATATATTTTTGCACATTTTTTGCGCACAGTTCCAAATACATTTTATTTGTTTTTACGTGCTAATCCTATGTATAATGAACACGTACACTATATTATGGCAGTAAAACATCCGTACTGTCTGAGGACACTGTGTTACGTGCATGACACTTGTGTACACATATGTTGCACATATTTACCATGTATCATGCTAATTTATGTATATATACAATCTATTTACAGACTATACACTGTCACACACTATATACATTCACCATCAACACATTCAGAACACCGCGAGTGTGAGCAGCCACACCCAGCCAGCCCTCCCTCACTCCTCCAACATTGTATTCACCAACATTACTCCTCCAAATCATACAGTTATTCACACCAATGTTTCATGTTCATTTATGTATATTTACAACATATGTACACACTCTACACTGTCACACACTATATACATTCACCATCAACACACTCAGAACACCGCGAGTGTGAGCAGCCACACCCAGCCAGCCCTCCCTCACTCCAACATCTTACTCGCCAACATTGCTCCTCCCACCATACTGTTATTGTATTTATTACACAATTTACACATGTTATATATACCTATCTACATGTTTTATTTACCAGAACTATGCAAGTACGCCGGTATTGTGTCCAAACAGTATAGTGGCCACCATACACTGCATGCCAAATCACACAGCAGACAGCAGACGACGCCACGATTACGACGTCACCTCCCTCACCAAAATAGCTCCTCACAACATACTCCTGGTGCTGTTATTACACTATTCCACACACACTGTATATACCCATGTACATGTGTATTCCCCATAGCGAATCACGAAGCTAGTATGGTGAGCAAAACAAGAGTTACTGCCACACAGTGAGGCTACCTCAATTCTCTTCCTTTCTCCCTCCCTCACCAAAATTTCTCCTTCCTACGCACAATGCTAATTATAACCACAATCCTGTTCACTAATACCTGTAAATGAATAATTGACCACAAGTTTATTGTGAAAAGGAACCTAAAAAGTCATTTGAAGATTCCTAGATGGACGAAATAATGCTGTGGTGCTGTGGCTAACGCTGTGAACATCGTGAACAGCATTGAATCACTGATATTTGAACATTGTACCCAGTCATTATCACACTCGGGCTCTTCTATAATACTATCATGGCTAAATAAAACAGATTATATATATATTTTGACAATATTAGGCAATGCTGTGGTCACACGCTGAACAGCAGTGCTGTGCGCTCATGCTGCGAGCGCCAGCCTTGGTTGCTCACTCACTACTGAGGCTCTCACACCCGGCAATGTGGACCATGATTTTTTTTTAAGAAGGCGTCTGTTTACAAGAGCCCTGAGGAAGCTGATGTGAACCCCATGTAGCCGCGGGAGTTTTGAATGGAACGTGAAAAATAAAAACACCTGGGGGCGCGTTGCGCACCCTAGGCCTGGGCCTGCAGGCGCGTTGCGCAGTTAAAGGGTTAACGTATTTGTACCATGAAATGGTAGCAGGGATTTTGTTCATGGGTCAAGGTAAACAACATTACATTCTTATAGTCCTATTATATCCATATTTACATCATGTAAAACCCAGACAATAATTGTTTAAATCTTATGATAATATCTGCATTACTCTGTGAATCAACAATTGATGATGTTTGCTGCTTAAGGGTTAAATTAATCTGTTATTAATACATTTACCATGCTCATAATTTTTTTCCAAAAATTAAAAAAAATTGGTATCCAATTAAAATATTGAAAAGTATCTGAATCTATAATGGTATTGGAATTGAGACTTTTTAGTGGAAGGGAATCTGTATTGGAATAGTTAGAGATTTTAGTTTTGAGCCATCACTAAATTTTTATGTACTTTATCATGTCTTTATTAGTATTATACTGTTTTGTCATTATTTGATGCAATTTTATTTGCATATGAATATTAACCCATAGTTATGTCCCATAGTAACTGTAGTAACATAGTTGCCTGTGGTAACTTTCAGAATTGTGAATGTTGAGATAAGCTGATTATAGGAGACTAAAGGTACCTTTTAAGTCAAAGTTATGAGATCAGTTGTACATATATTATTAAATGTGATAAAATATTATTGTTCAGGTGAAAATGATCATGGCCACCAATCGTCCAGACACACTGGATCCTGCTCTGCTGCGTCCTGGACGTCTTGATAGAAAGATTGAGATTGCACTTCCTAATGAACAAGCTAGATTGGAAATTCTCAAAATTCACTCTGGACCAATCACAAAGCGAGGAGAAATTGGTATATACTTGCTCTTCTGTTTTCATGTTTATAAATTTATAAATGGAAACTAACTTTTTGAGTTTGCTGTACAGTTTGATTACATTGTTAGTATTAAATTTTTCTCTTCTCAGATTATGAAGCAGTGGTGAAACTCTCGGATGGTTTTAATGGTGCTGACCTTCGTAATGTGTGTACTGAGGCAGGTCTCTTTGCCATCCGGAACGAGCGAGATTATGTCATTGAGGAAGATTTCATGAAAGCTGTGCGTAAAGTTTCAGACAATAAGAAATTAGAAACTAAACTAGATTACAAACCTCTTTAAATAAACTTTTGGTGTTTAAAAATTAAATTTTCATTTTGGAATGGTAGTTTGGCACTATAATTGTGGTTTTTATCGGTGATTAAAGATTATATTTCAAAAATTGAATATATTGCCAGGTATCTTCACCTCTGATTTTTTAATAAAGGGAGACCACTTAATGTAAGCAGTTTGCTCCATATTTAATATAGGGTGCACTTGTTCATTCTTCAAAGCTACAGTTGCTACCCAACATTGTTTTTCTTTATAAAAAGTATGTTCAAGACTTTAAAGGTAATAATGCCTATAAATAAAATAACTTTTGTAAAATATTTTTTATTATCCTGTTCACAACATTTCTCTAAATGTGTGTATTTTTTATGCACATTGCAGTTATACAGAGTAACAGTAAAGATAACTTACAAAAGAATATAATGCATGAAATAAATGACTTTTTCAAGTATTAACGTATGTGAATGTTAAACTTGGCAATGAACATTGGTGTATGCATTTCTCAAAGTTACCTCTAAACAAATTTAGAACATTTAAACAAAAAATGGCATTAATTTTTTAGTAGATTACAAACTGGGTTGATGCTATTTTTGACAGAGGATAAAGAAAATTGCACATTATTTCTTTTATTTCTAGAAAAGTTTGTTATCCATCATCCAAGCAAATTGAATTATGTCTATCAGTCTCACCATTATTTATAGGAGCTTCATGTTTAATGTGTGTGCTGTGACAATGTGGGGCTTCTTCCATTTTAATGACCTTTGCTTTATCTTTACCTTCGGTGAGTCGATAACCTAGTCCCTGGCCCCTTTTATCTCGAGGGAAGCGAGACTTCATGGAGGCTCTTTCCTCCTTTGTCATTAAGGAGGCTTGGAAGAATTTCTCGCGAAACTGTGCAGTCAAGTCAGTGACTTGAGCAGTGGCCGTTTCCCCTTCCTGCAGAGTAATAATATATATACATAAATTAGAGTGCATGAATTTCAAAAATGCAACTCTAGAAACCAGTGAGGTAAGAAAGATTAGAGAAACTTAAAATCACACATTTGTTTCACACATTACTTCATCTACCTACACATTACTTTGTACCTATTGATGGATCTAGGGGTTCAGTGGCCCTGCAGCTGTGCCTGAACAATCCTTGATGGCATTCAGGCTGTGCTTGTAATTTCCAGTCCAATGTAAGTAATTATCAAAAGAAGGCACCAAACCGGGAAGGCTATGTAGCACCATCAAATGTGCGGGATAATCAGAGGGCGCTAAATATCACCAAAGATGCCAATACGAGAACAGAAACGCATAAGGCGAACGATATCAAAAGTATCCAAGTCACCAAGAATACTATCGAGAGAGAAGCGACCACGGGGGACGGTCAGAAAACAAGAGACGCTCGTCCCGGAAGTCAGGACATTCAACAAGGATATGCACGACCGTAAGAGGGACAATGCAACTAGGACAATAAGGAGCAGGGCGGCGCTCCAAGTGACCATGAGTTAAGAGAGTATGGCCAATACTCAACCTCGCCAGAGCCGTTTCCCATCGCCGGTTACCGTGGTAGGAGGACAGTCACGAGGACACACAACTTTTAAGAGTACGTAGTTTGTTACCAGTAACAGACAACCAACAAGCCTGCCAACGGGCAGTGTTTGCCAGATTTAAGTTGCCGAAAGTCGCGAGCTGAAGAACTAAATGTCACAAACTTTACAATAAAAGTAGACAAATATTTTTTTTTTTTTTATTAATTCGCTTTTCAGAATAAACAGCCCAGTTTATTTTAACTGTCGCCAAAAAAGTAGCAAGTAACGACATACATAGCTGGCATTTTAATTGAATACAATTATCCTAATTGGTAACCCAATTGGGCTACAAGTAGCCCAATCTGGCATCCCTGCCAACGGGTAAGGATGGAGGAATGGATAACCGGGTAAAAGTCGGAATAAGGAATACCTTTACGAGAGATGGGACAAGAGCGGACAGCTTCCCTGGCAGCAGCATCCGCACGCTCATTTAAAGACACCAATATGGCTGGGAACCCAACAAAACTCAACCGACTTAAATTTACTGTGATCAAGAAACAGCCAATGCTGGATCCTGACAACCACTGGATGAACCGGATTAAAGGACCCGAGAGCCATGACAGCACTACGAGAGTGAACAACTACAAAGGAAGATTGACAACGAAAAAGTAGGAGACAGAGCATAGAGAATAGCATAAAGCTCCGCTGTGAAGATGCTAGTCTCCGGAGGTAAGCGACACATATAAGTGCAATCAGGAAAAACAACAGAGTAACTAACACTGTCCGCAAAGACGGAAATGGAGCGGGAGTGAGAAGAAAAGTGCTCATGGAAAAGGCGTTTTAGAACCGTAGGAGGGGTAAAAGGTTTAGTGATGCGGGTCAAGGGTGTACAAAACTGCGGAAGGGGAACTCTCCATGGAGGCAAAGAAGGAACAACATGAGGAGACCAGTCCAATGTAAGCCTCAGCCTGGTTGATCAGGTATCCCTTGGTATGTTTATCTTGAGGGTTCAGTTTAGATTCCAAGTTACATCCAAACTTCACCAGACTGATTTTGTTACTGGCTCCCATACAAGTGTTTTATCGGACAAGCCATTGTTTGTACTCTTTGTGCTTTCTTGAAATTTGTTAAAAAATACTTGTCTAATGAAGAGTTTAATGTCCTATATGATTACCTAAGATAATGTTCAACATTGCCTTTATTTACTGTAATATATATATATATATATATATATATGTCGTACCTAGTAGCCAGAACGCACTTCTCAGCCTACTATGCAAGGCCCGATTTGCCTAATAAGCCAAGTTTTCCTGAATTAATATATTTTCTCAAATTTTTTTCTCATGAAATGATAAAGCTACCCGTTTCATTATGTATGAGGTCAATTTTTTTTTTATTGGAGTTAAAAGTAACGTAGATATATGACCGAACCTAACCACCCTACCTAACCTACCTAACCTATCTTTATACGTTAGGTTAGGTAGGTAGAAAAGTTAGGTTAGGTTAGGTAGTCGAAAATACAATAATTCATGAAAACTTGGCTTATTAGGCAAATCGGGCTTTGCATAGTAGGCTGATAAGTGCGTTCTGGCTACTAGGTACGACATATACAGTGTGTCCTCACTTGAACGAACTATATGGGGCGAAGCCGATTCGTTCCAGTGCGGAATTCGTTCCATCCGTCCGGCCCTAACAACTTTCTCAATTTTTTTTTTAAACATATGCCAGGACACATTAGTTTGTTTCTTTGTTGTGTGGTGCTTCATCTTTCATGCTCATTTGGTGTCAATAATAATCTGAGATGCGAGAATCACCATCCCCCACCCCACTCACACCATCCCCCCACACCATCCCCCACCCCACTCACACCATCACCCACACCATCCCCCACCCCACTCACACCATCCTCCAACCCGTTCTCACACAAGACAGCACATATATGACTTAATGCTTAAAGTCAATATGTTGAATATGAATTAGTAAATATGTGATATATTCCCAGTTACTTTTTTTACCAAGGCCCAAACTCTTCCTCACGTACCAATTTACGTGTCACAGTACCCGTCCGTCAACATAGATAGCAGAATATTCGTGATTGGTTCAATTATAAGGAAAATTGTAGTTTTCAGGTCCCACATGGGTTGTGAAATTTACCTACTGTTGTCCATGCTCTTATAATATTACAGATCAGCTATATCCTATTGAAGGCTCGTAGTTTTGTTTTGAGAAATATTAGTTGTTCTTAGTAAATTATAATAAGCACTATAAATTATTACATAGAATAACAGTGCTTCACCAATCAATATTATATACCATAGTTTGGCTTTAAAAATCTTTAAAGAATGTTTTGTAGGAACGCTAACAGAAAACGATGTTACATTTGAATGTCTATGGGGTAAACTACTGCAAACAGGACGGTATTGTGTCTACTATACCAACTATAGCTAGGATGGGTATATTGTCACCTACCGCCTGTTAGGTGGGAAAGGGGTCCAATACCACCCACAGGATGGGTATGAGGGTCACATCCACCCACAGGATGAGTATGGGGATCACATCCACCCACAGGAAGGGTATGGGGTCCAATACCACCCACAGGATGAGTATGGCGTCCACTACAACCCACAGGATGGGTATGGGGCTCCAACCACCCATAGAATGGGTATGGGGCTCCAACCACAAATAAAATGGGTATAGGGTCCAATAATACCCACTGGATGTTTAAGGCGTCCATTGCCGCGCGTCGAGCTCGAAAACCGCAGCATTCATCTCAGAACCATGCCTATTTCACACAGATTCCTTAATAAACGTAAGAGTTTTATATGTCACAAGAAAGATAGAAATATAAGCTTCATTCTAAATACCTTACCATGGGCATATTTAAATTTAAAGCGAAGATACGTGTACTTTTATAATAGCCGAGCTTTAACCCCGGACAGATTGATCGACCGAGCAACTCTCTCTCAGAACAATGTTTATTTCACGTGAATTCGTTAATAAACATATATGTTTTATATGTCTCAAGAAAGGCAGACATATAAGCTTCACTTTAAACACTTTACCATAGACATATTTAAAGTTCTAATGAAGATACATGTATTTTAAAAATTACGGAGCTCCCACCCCGTACAGACTGAACGACAGAGCAACTCTCTCTCAGATCAATGTTTATTTCACGTAAATTCGTTAATAAACACAAATGTTTTATATGTCTTAAGCAAGATAGAAATAAGAGCTTCATTTTCAATACATTACAATAGACATATTTATAGCTCAAGTGAAGATACATATGTTTTTATAGTAGCGCTCAGTAGCTTGTCGGGCATGGAGTGCAGACGCCTACGCACTTGCCGATATATTGTATAATTATCAAAGATACGCTAATAAAGCCTAAAATCTTATATGCCTCCAGAAAGACCGAGATATGAACATTATTATGATTTCACCAAATGAAATATATCATGTTCGAGAACAAAGATATATCAATTTTAAATTAAGTTTCGACTCTTGCTCGGGCGAGAGAGAGGGAGCGACTCTCGCCCCATCTATTGGAGATTCTGTCCACTAAAGACCCAAAGCTACTCAAACCCTCCTAGCATTATTTAAGTAATGAAGTAATATGGTATATTTACTATAATGTGGGTGCTGAATGCAGAACATGAGAAAACATATATTTACTCCAAACTAATATAATTTCATTATGAAATAAGTAAATAAGTAGCATCAAAGGAAGTCGACGGTCCAAGCGTCAATGTTGTGGAACGACTTATCCAAGATATATCGTTGTTTGGAAAGTGTTTGTTGGCATATCCAGTTGTCGCACTTCTCTGCACAAATTATCACAAATTTAAATTATAATGTTAACAAGTAGAATACGTATTTTTAATAAAATCTAACATAGCTAGCCAGAAAACATTTAACATTTATTAAAAAAATATATGTTTGGAAGTTAAATCGACTTCATAGGACAATAGTGTTGTTATATATACTCGTTATTCGTTGACATGCGTTCGCTACTTAAACTACCATGTACTGTACTTATGTGAAATCTCCCATGTCTCTTCGCTCATCTCACCGAACCCTACAGGCTCTGTGATATATTGCTTAATTAATTGAGATTCACAAATAAAGCTTATAATTGTATATGTTATCAAAAAGGCAGAGCTTATTTTAGTTCATTTATTATGCACCCCATACCCATCCTATGGGCGATAGTGGAGTGTTACAGAGGCGCATAATGGGCTCAGGGACTGAGCCCCACAATTCATATAGCCAAGGAAGTTATAATCTTGATAAGCTAGTTACAAAAGTCAATGCACATTGTCACATCAACAATGGGCTCGAGACCGACCACAAGTACAGTTTATAATTTAAGCAACTGACATATATGGAGGGCTAGTGTCACAATTGATTTGTTTATCC